GAGTTTTCACAGAAGTCCCTACTTCTTTATACATCATGGTAATTGCTTTCTTGCAGTTACCAAAATGACCTAATCAGAATAAAATTCAAATTAACAAAAATTCTTCTCTTTCTTTTACAACAACAAAATCCAATACTAGTTATTGAAATAAATAAAATTCCAATAAAATTACAAAAGTATAAAAATAATAGCGCCATGTATTATATACAGACTGTTTAAAATGCAGATGAGGTAAGTATATATATTATGCAGGGTATTTAAACACTTGCACTAGTAGTACTGCAAGGCACAAACACCACTTTCAGTGCTATGAAGATTTTTTAAATGAGTCAATGTGAAGTGTAACCTGTTCAACTATCAGTTATAGCCATTATGTTCTATCATATAAGCACGTATTTTGAGCATTCTGAAAATGCACATTCTTACTTGATAGACTGCCATTACCTCGGAAGCTCTTCTACTACACTGGAGTTTCTAAATGAGAGAGTTGAAAATTTCAAACACATTTACTATAGAAATTAAAAGCTTAATGATTGCATAGGTGTGTTAAAGTAGTCTGGCTATACCAATTATTCAAGAAGTTAAAAAATATTAGATAGAAATTCAAGTTTAAACTCTCGAAAGTTTAAACCTGCCTATGAATGAATTAGGTTCTCACAGAGGCTGCAACATCATAAGAACAAAAGGTATTGTACATCCTATACTAAAGAAGAAAAAAAGTCAATTCAGTAAATTCAAAGATTGGTTTCTCAGCTAACATGCATTGGAGTTATCTGTTAGATTCGATACAAAGCTCAAGATTTCTACAAGTTGAGAACAGATTTTATTGGTGGAAGAAGTGGGGGCAATGGTTTTAAATAGTGATGTTGGATTATTCTAGACAATTAGAACATATTTAGGTGTCACACTTTTAAACTAGTGCTGGTTGTAATAATAAAAAAAAGCTTTAAGCAAGGGGTAAAACATTATAAAGATTGTGTTTTAAAAGATGGCATTTAATTCTCCTCTTTACTGAAGTAAACTGTGTCACAGAGAGGCAAGTGTCAAGTTTGATCTTGAGAAGTTTGCAAGGAATCCAGCCACCATTATAGGGTCAGATTTACTTCTCTTGAAACCTGTGATCCTTTCAGCTAAGCAGAAATGTGTGAGCTGCATTTTTGCTTGCACTGCTGCCATCCTTTTCTCTGAATGCCTTTACTTCTCTAGCTGCAGTGTTAGTTGTTGCAGAGGCAGCTTTGGATTTTAAAGACAGAACCCTTCCTCTTTCTTAGTCTCACTAAATGTGCTGTGTTCCTTATCCAAAAGAGGCAGATCATTTTCATTCAAGGCATTATTTTTGTATGACATATCACATTGGCTTCCAATTTTCGTGCACAGCACTAACCATCAATGACTTTTCAACACGGAGGATCGTCCTCCCAGCTTCTGAGACTGGCATTCACATGACTCTGGTACAAAGCACTGCAAATTTGCCCAGCTTATCAAAGAGGCCACTAGCTTTTATTATTTCAGGGAGAATCAAATTGGAAGTTGCTTCTTGAACTAATCAGGGCTGATTTGCTCTAAAGTTGTTTCCTGACTTAGATCTCAGGCAAGGAAGTGCTGTAATCAGTTCCCAAGGGCCATCAGAGTTATGATGGGATATTAAAGGAATGGTACACTACCTTTTCAGAGTTCCCTAATCTTGGTGGCTTCTCAAGTTTAACACAGCTAAACCTGAGCTTGTTGTATAGAAACAAAGCTTAATTTTATGAGGTAGCTTTATATAAGAGATGATTTTACTCAAGATTGCAGAACTGAATTTTGGAAAGAATGTACTCAGGTTTCCTCCAGGGTTTGTGCAGTTCAGTTGAAGATATAGACTGGCAGAATTGTTCAAAACCAAACATTTACTACCCGTCACAAAAAAAAATAAATAATGTTCATGAAAGAGAAAATGAGTCCCCCTGAGTGTCACTGTTTGCATATTAGCCCATAGTACGGGCTCTGCCAAGTTACTCTCTGACTGACTGCTGCAGATGCTCTTTCTCAAGTATTCTGAGTGAGATCTTTAGTGCAAGTCTTTGGGGACAAACAATAGCACCTGTTCCTCACAAGATAGCAGCCCAGTTAGTCCATTCATGTATCTTTAATGAAGCTCTGGGGCAGATGGCAAAAAATGGCATCATCAACAACTTAGCACAGAGGAGACAAAAGGGGAAAGTGCCGATCCAACAATATGCTATTTTTACGAATGGGAAGAGACAGAGTTGGAGTGTTTCTTGGGCACCTGCTACAGTCTTGGTTTTCAGAAAGACCTGAGGAACATCTCAGCAACTAAAATTTATGGGCATGTAGCCGATTTTATGAAGTACACCAGTTCACCCCTCCTCCCAATTTCTCCCCCCTCAGTAAAATCAAAATAATTAATAACAATAATGATAATAATAAAACCCTCAGAAAAAAAAAAATCAAAAATTAGGTGTCTACTGTTTTTTGGCATTCATTTTACATTTTTAATAATTTAGTGATTGGTCATACTTGTACATTCTCTTCCTTTTTAATGCTAATTTGTGTTTTTCAGTTGACCTGTGCTGAAAATCAACACCTATGTATATAATTCTGGATGAAACTAGCATTTAACTAGGAATAGCATTTAATATATGCCAGAGGGAAGACCCATGGGAGGGAATGGTTGCCATTCAGTGTGGGCTTTTTTCAGTCTGTGTAACTCTCTTAAGTGTAAACTCAAAGGTATACTTTAAATATCAAAGGTATACTCTAAATGTAAGCCACCTTTAGCCAAAGTTACATTGATTTATGTAGGCTGAGGACCTGATCCAACATTCAGAGTAGTATTTCAAGGAAGAACAGCAGATAGCTAGAACATGCGATGGTAATTCTCCACACTTACAGAATTGCTTTTATTTGAGTTGTAAAAAAACATTTTGGATATGGTGGAGTGGATCCAACTCTACAGGACTGCACTGAGAAATAACCATTGTAGGATTCGGTGGTTATATGTTTCAAACCACCTTTATGACACTACAGTGTGAAGTATTGCTATGGGTATGTACGCACCACTGCTCTAACCTCAGTACTAACTCTGATCTCTTCTGCATCTTGTGAGACTGTGTTGATGTCTTGTACATTTGCAAGCCCGTGGAAATACTTTCTGTGTGTGGTGATTGAAAGGGATATTTCTTAAGCCTGGCATCCATTTGATTAAAGTGTAGCTGGGAACGACTGAAAATGATCCTAAGTTGTGTTGTGTTGAATTTCTTCCAGTATGTCCTGTTTCTCTCAGACAAATCCTGCAGTTTTCATTTGCTGTACTCTTGTAGAGGCAGTGTAAAGGAACACCACACAGCAAAACAAGCACCATTTTATCAGGGGTAAATGTCTGTGCTAGGCACATGGGGAACAACTCCAATCTAACCAAGTTTAACTCATATCCTAAAACACACAGCCAGGCTTACCTCAGCTAAAATGAGAGAAATAGCTGCCCAAAGCTAGTTTTTTTCACGCCCCAGTGCCATAGCAGTAATTGCACAAAGACCTTTTTATTATAAGTTGATTTTCCTGAGAAATGGATTCAAAAAAATACTGTAAAGTGTTTATTTTTTTGCTTGACCTTTATTAACCTACATCTTAGGGCTTTCCCAAGAGAAGAGTTGTTGGTAAATTAACCCTCATAGACACACACAGTAGCATTTCTGCACTGCGTCAATGGCTGTGAAAGTAATGGGGATATGACAAGAAAATTTGGCACTATTTAAACAATGTCATAGGTCAACATATGGGATTTGACCAAAAAAGTTTTTTAGGAATTAAATGAAAAAAAATTGCTTGAAGTGTACTTTAACTTTTTAATAGTATTTAATGCCACCGATTTACGGTAGGATGAGGGCAAAATTTTTTTCTGCCTAAAACCCCAATTTCTTCCTAAATTTACTAGCTTTGATATACAAACCATTATATCTTTGCTTAACTACTAATCAGAACAATCATAGTCAAACCCTTGGGTACTTCTGGGGTTAAGGAGTGATGGATAAAAGCTCTTTGTGATCCTAGCCGCTGTTGCTGAAACACATGTAGCATAAATTAAGGAACTAGGAAATTAACATGTGGATTTAACAGACACAATTCTATCACATCTTCCATTTTCTATATGTTGAATACAAATGCTGGTATAACGTGAAGAATTTTTTGCTTTTGCATGCTTGTCCTTTTTGATACATTTATTAAGGTCAAATTAAATTTGCTATAGTAGGTTTTATTCTGAAATGGTCTCTGAATACAGCTCCATAATTACCAAGCTACATGATAGTGCATAAAGCTATAAAACTGCTTAGACAGACAAGCAATTTATATGTTATAGCGAGGTGTGTATGGCAAAGGATGTTAGTTTAATTGGGAGCCAAGATGTTGGAGCCTTAAATCTTAAGAGCTGGGGTGTTGACTAGAAGACTATTTAATACTGTTGCGATATTTTGAAATAACATACCTGAGTTGTTGGTCTATATATGAACAGTACAATGTTGTAGGATCTCAGAATTAAAATTACCCGAAGGACAGTAAAATTTGAACATCAAAGTAGCTACTGCAGTGTTAGGTTATTTCTAAAATGCTTGTCATTCTGCTGTCTGTGACCAAAGATGAGAAAACTTGTGAAAAATTAATAGAAATGTACTCTTCTTTTAAAAAACCTATGGTATGTTAGGATTTTGTACCTTTTTACCTTGTGTCAGGACAAGGAATATTATTTTTTTTAAAAAAAAAAAAGAGAACGAGGAAGAAGTAGGAAAACGTGCAGTTCACTGAGACTGTTACACCTTTGACACTGAGGGAAAACAATGTTAGTGAGGGCTTTGATGTGATAATGTGAATTTGGCAGAGATTACATTAAGGCGAATGTTCTGTGGGACTGTGTGAACACAAGAACACTATCAGTACTGGAGAAATACCTGTCAAGACAAATTTGTGCTATTTCTGATCAGAAACTCTCTTCTGTTTAGCAGGTTCAGGGTCACATGCCTCCGCTTATGATCCCAATTTTTCCACACGACCAGCGGACACTGGCAGCGGCTGCTGCAGCCCAGCAGGGATTCCTCTTCCCCCCAGGAATAACTTACAAGCCAGGTAAGATGACAGGATTGTGAAGCTATTTAACATTTAAAGATATTAACTGTAGCTTGTTGTATGATCTGTCTCATATAGATGATGTTACACAACAGGCATAGCTGGTTGGAAATAATGTGGAGTTTTGCAACTCCACTTGAAAAAAAACCTTCTGGTTTGAAGGGAGTGGATGGAATATTGGTTATTGAATATAATGATTTTTTTTTTACCTTTATTTCCTACAAATTTGCTTTAAATATATTGGCCCACTCACCTAGTAATTTGCATCTTGTCTGCCCCATGTCATTATACAAAAGCTATGTATCTTTAACCAATTCCGTTATCTTCAGTATACTTGTCTTTTGTGCCAAAATTCTTACTCTTAATTAGTGATAAAAGTCAGAGGAAGTATAATCTAATTAGCAGGCTTCAAATGGGCAACTTTTTGTTTGATTTCAATCTGAGTAATAAAAGGTTTCAGTAGTTCAATCCAAGTCAAGATTCAGACTTGTAACAGGTCACATAACCTTGCAGTGAAATATGTTTTGAGATGATTTAGCAAATGTTATGATTTCTTTCTTTTTTCCTCTGAGTTTACAGGACTCCTGGGGAATTCAATTAGGGATATAATGGTTTGAAGCTACTTTCAGAGCCTCCTTGTAAACAGGCCTTTAAATGTTTAAAGACACGTTGCCAAAGGAATTCAATGTAGGAAGATAGTTAAGTAAATAAAAGTCAACCTTATTTTCATTTATACATTCTTTGTAAGTGACCTCAGTCCAGAAGCAGCAACCTTATTTGCTCATTAATAGTATTCTCTGTTAAGCTGTCCTTAGCATATTAACCTGATAACTAATAATTACAAAACATAAATACCAGTTTCTTTTTTTGACATTAAATACAAAATGTACAAAGTAAAGCATTGATCCTGTTCCCACTGATGTTGGTGGTGTTTTTGCTGTTGACTGCAGCAGGAACAGGGTCAAATCCAAAGTAAAGCCTCACAATAGATGATGCAAACTGCATACTAATCAAAAGCCAGGTTGAGCCTAAAATATTTTCTGGCAAGTTTACTTAATATTAGATGAAATGAGGCCAAGCAGGATTTAATCAAGTATTTCTGTTCGTCCCACTCCCTTCTGTCTCTTTAGTCCAGAGACATTCCTCTCTAAACACAGAACCTTTGTTCGGTTATTATCTTCAGGTTTAAAAATCCCAAAGTTCTCTTCCAGTTTGCCAAACTGGCGCACTGTATGCAGGAACCAGTTAATGGAGGTCTGAAAGGCATCTGGCTCTAAATGGCACAAGATGATGGTTATTCACTCCCATCACCACCTCACAACAGCTGGGGACCAAATAGAAGAATATTTTCTCTCCAAAGATGTAAGAGTCACCAGTTGTGAAAATTGTCTACGAAACCCTGACTAATACTTTTCTTCTCACAGACAAGAGAAAGCATGTGCATTTGTTTCCTTGCTTTTCCCATTTTAATCTGAAATGCTTTCTGAATAGTGACTATTAATGATTAAGCCGTTGGTTGTGCTTTCCCCTGGAAGATGGTATGTCAGAGCACGTTGTGTTGATTTTGGCTCTATAGGCTACTTGGTACAACAATGACTCAGGAAGAAGAGTACCAGCATGATTTCCTGCACAAGAACAGATTTCTGCACTTATCCTAAAGTGTTCCTTACAGTACCTATCCCAACACATTGAGCTTACACTGCTTTACCTGTGATCCTATTGACCTCATAGCAGAAGGTGATACAGCTTTGGGGTATTTTTTCACTTGCTGGAAAGAGAGATCCATAAAAAATATTAAAAGAATGAAATGCAGGCAGAAATCAAGGCCTACATATCCCAGAACACAGCTAAGCTCTTTGCTAGTGTGTTTGTGGTTTATATCCAGCTGATGGTAGTAAAGACCAGAAGTCACAATGATTATACCCGGTGGCTTGCAAGAAATGAGAATATTTACTTTTTTAATATATTTATTAAATTCTACAGTGTGTGTGGCAAAGGTAGCTGGGCAGGTTAGTAGTTTCTGTTGGAGAGACATCATGATAAAAAAACCACCGTAACTACACTCGGTATTGATTAATTCCTATTTTTGGCATTCTCAGCACAGTAGTTAAGGAATTAATGAAACTGGAGATTAAGCTACACTAAGGGTTCTTCAAAGTCATTTCTGAGGAATATTTATGAACTTGACTGCTACTACCTGTACTCTTCTACTTTTGTGAGAAATGAAACTTTCACCTCTCGAACTGTCAGTTTAGACTTGCTCATACTTCTGAGGAAAGATAGAGATGGATTAACCCTTCAGATACTTACCATTTTCTTTTCGGTTGCCTGTTTAGTTTCTATTTCATTTTACAGTAGTTGGAGGTAGGCAAGACTGAGTTTTGACACCGCCAGTTTTCCTTGACTTTCAGAAAATACAGCGAGAGGGATTTCAATAAAAGGAGCTAAGGGAACTGAGTACTTTTGAAGCGGACTGTGTTATTTAGGGAATGCCAAATTTTGTGTGCGCAGTCCACTGTTTGCGTTGCCCACAAAACAGGCTAGATATAAGCCAACTCTGACTTGGAAGAGACGTATCAGAGTTAGTGTGACAGTGCAGCCAAGACGAGAAGTGCCTTGGTGCACAAGCGAGGGTATGATTATGTGCACGGGTCCATGCAGGTGTATCTTCACGGGCTAAGTGGGAACCAATTTCATGTCTGTTTAATTCAATGCCAAGATAGCAGTTACTGAATACTGTTGCAAATCTGCACATAAACTCTATGCCTTGAAGTAAGAAAATGGTATTCCTATAACAAACTACACTAGGTCATACCCTCAATGAAAAGACCTATAGAAGACAGGAGAATACGTGAGGTTTTGAGGCCCTTCCAGCACATGCCTCAGTTGATCCTAAACTCCTGAGCTCAGAAAGTTATTGTGAAAACTCAAGAAATTGCTGATATACAGCTATGATTTGTATTAAATCCTGACAGGACAGGGTTTTCTACTGCCTGGCAGGATCTACAACATGAGGTGGCTGTAATCCTCCCCCCCCAGCCACCATATTTTGGAGCTCTAGGAGGTGAAACAGGCCAAAGTTAGCAAGTGCTGATGACAAGTAATAATTACATTAGGAAAAAAATCCCCGAAGTCTCATGCTTCCTTATGTATCTCAAAGTCATGTAATATAATTTTCCGGCATGGTAAGTACTAATTGAGAAATCAGAGCTGCATAGACCACCTAATTAATTTTTTATACATATTTCAGTATTTATACTGTATACCGGATTAATTAAAACTTTAGGGCGCTGTGCATCTCAAATGACTGTCGTGACTATTGACCTGCAGGCGCTTGACGAGCCTTGTAGAGTACCTGGTTGTGGGGGTTGCCACTTATTCCAGTGGGAAGCTGAGTGTGGCAGCTGTTAGGAAGCTAATACTTGCCCAGAGATGCTACACAGTTAATATAATTATTTTGCATTCCAAGTATAGCAAAGTAACTGCGCTGGCTTTCTGACTGTGACCACTAACTACTTGGAACTGGTTGGTAACATAAGTACCATTATACCTCCTCTCCCAGTGCAAATTTCCCTTCACTTAACCAACCACATGCATCCAGGAAAAGTTAGTGGGCTGGAGCATCCTTGACTGTGATTAGTGTGTCCCCATTAGTGCCCTGGGTCAAGAGGAGAAGACAGTGAGTGGGATAAGGAGGAAGACGGTTCCCTTCTCCATCTTGCAGTGCCTAAAGTGCTACTTCCTTCAGGTTTTGTGGCTAACAGGGAATGGGGAAGTAGGATGGTGATGGACTAAAGACATAATGTAGCGCTGGGCAGGAGCCAGACCATACCTGGAGCAGAGCTCAAACAGAGCTACTGTTTGCTCTGAGCAGAGTGGGAGGGCTGCTCTCTATGCTGGCTGCAGAATGGTGGTCCACATGACTTGGAAATGAATGATCACTTTTGCTTGATAGTCTTCCGCAAGTATTTTGTATTATATCAGTTCTTAACCAGATGCAGAAAGTATCTCTGAAAAATATTATTGAAAATAGAGACATTGAGGTACAGAGTTTGTAAACCTCTATTTAAAAGTTTGTAGAGTGATATACTGCAGTGTATTTTCAAAGCATTTCTTCAAATTTCATACATAAAGTATATAAAGACCATGAGTAGAATGGCTAAGAAACAACTCCTCTCTGCCTACCTAGGTCATTCTGCTTTATACACAAACATAATTTATAAGAGATTTTGCTATGCTGGCAGTACAATGAAATGTGAACATGGAAAGTGCTTTCCTAGGCTGGTGGCAAAATTAATGAGAAACGGAGGCAACGTTTCGGCCTGGTTCTGTTCCTACTCACACTGGAGTAAATCAGCAGTAACTCCTTTGAAATCAATGAAAGTAAAATTAGGTAAAGCATGACAAACAAAACCATCAGGCTTATTGTCATCTGGCTGAACCTCAGAGCATTTCAATGCTGTGAGATATTTGCCATCAAACTAATTAAACTCCTTGATTACAGTAGCTAATCCACATAACTAACATCATCTTAGATCTGCTGGACTTCACTGATATCCATCATTGCAGTTTCCATTTGGAACAGGCCTTTCAGAACTTTTTCCTAACGCTGTAAGTTGGTTTAAATTTTACATAGCACTGTACTCTGTTTTCAGTAGGCTGCTGTTCCTCCTGGCAAGTGAGAACAGAAAGTGCACATCAAATCAACTGTGCACTGAGTTGGCCGTGTACCTTTGCAAGACACAAGTGCTGCATGGGACTTGTTTCTAACAGAAATTCCCCAGGACTGAGTTAAAGTCTGTTATGTGTTCCCTCTTGGGTTTTACTAGTTGGAACAAGGAATATATAACCTCAGGATTTGTAGTAGCCATCCATATGTGCCTCACTCCTAAATGTTGAGGTAAGAGCTGGAAGTGGCAGTAGGCAGCTGAATATTTTCAACTGGGTTATTGCACTGAAGCTCTTTACCTGCAGGCAGACAATTGTTGGGCAACTGATTTTGCTGTGACATGAAGATAGCAGTAAGGCAGTGACGTGGCAAACCCTGCTCAAAACAAAGGAAGAACTGAGGTAGTGTCAGCGGACAGGGGAGATGCTCAATAGTATTGCCTTAGCCAGTTACCTCTATTTAACATCTTCCTCAATCCTGATACCTCTGCACAAACAAAATGGATGTCCTGTGTTGGAATATTATGGGAGTGGGCATCTGTAGCCTTGCTGTATCCAGACAACACCCTGAGGAGAGGTATGCTTTCCGCAGCCTGTTCATTATGTTTGGGAGGGTAAGGCCCCGGAATTTGTGATCTCTTTCATCTCTTCCAACTCTGTTTCCTGTTATATCGTGAGTGCACATGGAGAGTGTGCAAGTGGCAGTTTGAGATCCACAAGTGAAGAGACAGATTTTAAGTTACAATCCCAAAATGGGGAAACCATCATCAAACCGAAAGCTTTGTAAGTCAGATGAGGAGAGTCAGCTTGTGTCTTACAATTGTGTTTTAGGAAAGATGGGTAATAAGGCAACACCTTCCCCCTACCCTGAGTCTCATAAGAGACCAGCATCCTTCTTTCCTCACAGCTCACAAAGCTTTGATCTGGAAGGTAAGTCCATACATCCTATAAATAAGGTCCACTAAATTTCATTGCTTCATCCAAGACAAAAAGAAACATTTACATTATTTCTATGTAGAACAGTATGGTACACTTGCTGGCTGCTTTTATTCATTTGGAAATGTTGTTCAACCTGACAATTGAAACAGAAGTCTGGCATACTTTTCCATGGCTTGTAAACACCAACTTATATACAAACAACAGCAGCCAAATGTAAATAGACAATCAGTGCAGCAAGGAGATTGAAGAGATCAGTTTGCAAAACATGACAGAATTTCTTCTTCCGGCATTCTTCTCACTCCTGGTTATCAAAGGCCAGCACACACCGATACCTAAAGCAGTCCTGTTTGAACATGTTCCACTGCCTTTTGTACAAATGTGAAAGAATGGATCCTCACGCAAGCATTCCAAATTGAGAAACAAATTTGAAAAAAATTGCTACAATACATTGACTGATTTCTTGCCAAGACAGCTACTGAGAAGCTTCTTGATCCATTCTTCCACTGAGAAGATGAGAGGGGGAAATATGTACCTTCTGTAATTAAAAATTAAACCCAGCCCATTCCCTGCATGCTTAGTTTCCTCAAGGGAGAAAAAAGTACCTTTGCTCTGCTTCTACTGCATGGTGTCAGCAAGGTACTCCAGAGCTGAAAGAGTATTAATTTTTGTTCTCAGCACAAAGTTACTGCTAGCCCACCAGGACTTAGCTATAATTTACCACGTTAAAATGAGGGGGAAAAGGAACAGTATTATGTTTTAGTAACCAACGAATGGCATAACTGTAAAATTATTTTTCCCGTAACAAAAGAAAGAACTGTAGCCAGCAAGTGAGCAAGAGAACACTACAGGGTGTGGTAGAGATACTATTAAATTAACTGCAAAGCCAAAAACTCTGTGTGTGTGTATGTGCGTGTGTGCGTATAAAATATCTGGCTATTTCAAACCATAGGAGCATGACAGCTGTGAAAAAGGAGTGCCACAGGGAATTCTTTTAGAGTTTGATTTTTTTAAAAATATGTTTGACATGGAAAATGTTTTAGTACAAATAAAGCAACTGGTATTGAACTTAAAAAGTGTATGTGGAGGGGGAGGGAGAAAGAAGAGATTGCTGTGTGGAAGAAGAATGAATAATTCATGATATTTAAAGAAAGAATGCCTCCGAAATGTTCTGCAAGGCAGTCCATGCTGATAACTTGGATGGTTATTTCCCCCCCATTTAAAGCATCATTAATTCAACATCTTTGTGATTTTTTTTGTAAAACCTTGTAAGATATTTCTGAAAGAAACATTATTTAACTTAGATTAGGATCTTATTTATTCAGATAATTTCATATAAATATCAAAGAGATAAGCAGAATTATTTAACCATAGAGAGACAGCTTTAGTACTTTAAAAAGGATCTAGGGGGTTTTTCTTGCCTTTTTTTAAAGAAGAAAAAAACAACATCGTTGCAAACTAAAATCAGCCTCACGGAAGGGGGAAAATAAGAGGAGATATTTTGAACATTACTCCATAGGACACCAGTACAATATAGTGTTAGTGAATGCATTGTAGCAGAGCTCCATATGCAATCAGAATCCAATTGTTGCTGGACTGTGTACAAGCGCATACTGTGCTCAATGGTCTGATGAGGTATTACGGATATGATGCAAAGAGACCTTGTGGATTAGACATGTACTATTTATTAAAAAAGTGAAACAATAGAACATTTAAACAGAGTTGAATACGATAGCACTTCAGGTGGTAAAATGGAAGAGTTCTGAGGAACCCAGTGACTGCAAAGACTTCAGCTATCACTATTGATTTGAGTGGATTGACAAAAAAAAAATCTAGCTCTTGGAATGTCCCGATTATATTATTCTGGATTTCTATGTTTTCCTTCATTGCTCCATTCTGCTTTCAGCATGGAAAAGTTCATGTCAAACAGACTGATTATTGTAAATCTCAAAAATGTGCAGAGGAGCAGCCTGTTAAAATGTAGCCTACAGATAGTAAATAATATTGACTTTGAATAAGTATCTTGAGCCAAAGAGATATTCCATTAAATTATAGTTACTGTGTAGTTTATTTGTCACTGTATTAATTTTTACATTACAGATTACACTGCTAAATTATTTCAGCCTTCTTTCATTCTTTACATTGACTAAGAGTCCCAATGGCACTGTGTGATGCATTGTTGTGGTGACTTGGAAGTGTGAAAACCCATTGATGCTATAAGATATAATGGTGCAATGCTTATTTTGGATCAACAGTATCTCTTATTTTCTGGAGCATTTGTTGTCCCCTCAATGGAGAGGGCACATATTTTCAGTTTCCAGCGAACACAACGGAGAAATTTTAGTGCCTGAATCATCATGTAACTGAAAAACTACCTAATCTATCAACTTCAGTAGGGTCCCAGATCTAAGAGAAAGTTAAAATTATATTGCAAGCTATTTGTAAAAGTGATTTAATTTTGTATTTCTCTATGGTTACCTTAAAGGAGTTGTCCCAAGACAGAGAACCTCAAAGCAAAACAAGAAACCGCCTCAACCTGTGTTGAGCCAACTAGGTAGCTTTCTCAGGAAAGAGCCACTCAATACTGAAACGAAATCACCCTGTATTAAACAGGGCTGAAATTTCTCGAGTTACAAGAAATTTCTCCTGTTTTAAGAAACATGTGATGACAACAATTTTTTTCCTCTGGGAACCACCGGGGTTTCCCGGGATATCTTGTCTGTGTGTCTCTGGCATTAAGGCCCATTTCGTGCCCAAGCTTACATGCTTGATTTAAACATTTGCTTTTGAAAATGAAAATCACGAGTATCACATGTACGTTTTGCCAGTTTGCCTACCAGCTATCTGCTAACAAAAAAGTTCCGAGGGAGCGTGGCAAGTCCGTGCCCAGCGAAGCCTTTTGTTTTTGCAGATGTTTAGGCTTAGAGGAGGGCTGTGGAGCACAGGCAAACCTCGGTCCATGTTTGCACTTGTCTGCTGCTATTCTCTGCTCATTGTCTGAACCTGCACGCATTGTTCTCCCGACAGGTGATAACTACCCTGTGCAGTTCATTCCATCAACAATGGCAGCTGCTGCTGCTTCTGGACTCAGCCCTTTACAGCTCCAGGTATGTGCCAGAACAAAAAAATGTGGGATCGAAGCCAACATTTTAGGGGAAAACTGCTAACCAGCTGTATGCTAAATAATAGCCTGAATGTTAAATAATTTTTGAGCACAGCCCAGGAAGATTAACACCTTATGTACTTAGGGTACTGCAAATATTGCAATGTGCAGCCAACCTTGATACTGTGAGTGAAAGACATTGTTCTGTGTGTTTTATATTGGCAGAGGTAATGATATTTTTTAAATTATATGACCAGTTGATGGGACGTAAGTTCAGAGACCTCTTCATACTTTATTTTCATTTAGTCTTTCCCCTGTAGCTGCAATGAAGTACCTTTAATTGGAGCAGTGAGGCAATGTGTGTTATTGGGGTATTTTGGTTTTTTTCAGACAGTGTGGTGCTGATAACACAATAAACTGCAAACTCTTTCAGCTTCTGTATTTAGGTAATTTCAACCTTTCTGTGCTTTAAGCTGGTGAGATGCCAAACATGGTCAGGAGCCTTAGTTTGGTCATTTATTTATTTTTGGCATATATAGAATGAAATGTTGTGAAAGGAAGATTTGTGTGCCATATTATTAGCTAGCTTTTTATGGCAAGAAGTTTTTAATTTCACAAGAAAAGACACAACAATGTCATAAATAATGAAGACACAGTCAAAAGCTTTCAGAGTTAAAATGTGTGGAAAGAAAGTGACTGAACATGAGAGGAAAGGCCATTAAAGATGCATGTAACTGTTTGCAAGTAAACCTTTGAAACCTCTGTTTGAGTTAGGTCAGAGTTGGATTCAGATGCAAAGTAGGAATAAATTGTGCCTAGAGTGGCAAATTACTACCATGTTAATAGCCAAATATCTACTTTGCTTACACTTCTGCAATTATATCATTTTCCAGAGGGTCCAAAGCAAATTAAAAATCCTCTCATCTTTACATGATGTTGATATTCTTCCTGCCAAGTTAACTTAGGATAAGTGAGAACGGGACCAGAACTCGCTGTTCACTGATGGTCCAGAACTGGCAAAAAAGATGCCTTGAGCTTATGTCTGACCAAACCTACTATCAAAACTTGAAAAGACAACACCCTGACACTACAGGAAAGGATCTCCAAAAAATACTTTTAGGTCATGATAGTATTACGCTAAAACTGTACCTTGGACAGGCTTCAAACCAAAGGGAAGTTTTTCAAAAAGAAAACTAGCAGGTATCCTTTGAAAATCTCTACTTGAACATACATTGAAGCAAAGGTCTCATTAGCTTTAGTTGAGAAAATACTTCAGAAATCAGCTTTGTGAATAGAGAGACTATTTTTGCTACATGCAATATAATAGTGAGCCTACCTAAAACTGTAAGGCAGGAAAGGATAAAAACTGTTCAGCTGCAAAAGAAACAGGATCCAAACCACAGACATTCCCTGTTCTTTTCTTTTACAAGATCCATTTGTATCTTGACCCACAGATCTATTTGCACGTCAGCCTTGATCAGAACCTACAGCTATAGTGCAATTTCATTAATTTGCGGAAATGATAGACTGAGCTTTTGAACACCACGAGCACAATTAGAGAGAAAACAACCAGAAAAGAAAGTAGTTCTAATAAATTCAGAAATACTTGAGTCCTTGAGGGGCCTGAATTTCCCTTCAGATATATTTGTTGTGAAAGAGGGTTTTTTTATTTGTCCCATTCCCACCCCTTTCTATTTTATTTGAGTTTCACCTTTATGGGATTTCAAAACCTTTAATGTTTCATGGTCATAAGAACTTAAATTCTTCAACTGATACCTGCTCATCTGATTGTCAGATTGACTGAACTATATTTTATTTACTCCCACTATTAATATCCTCTTTGCTTAAATTTCTTAAGTGTTCCCCAAATGAACAGTTATTTGGGTATGTTTGTTGAAGGGAATTTGTTGTTATACCTGATGCATCATGAAGACTGTTAGGGGTGTAGCATTTCAGCACATTTTCCCGTCTTTGCTTCCCTTCCCCCTTCTTTCTCTGTTTTGCTTCCTTTCTTCCATCCACCCCACCCACTTATTTATTTACATGAATGCTGTGACCATGGTATCTGAGTATTTCCCAAGTGCTTAAAAATACTGATCACAAAACTAATCTGCTCCTTTCAGCCAGGGAGAAATAGCTAATTCATTTGCAGGTTTGGTTTTGTTTCTACATGTGAGCGTGTGTGTAATATCTGCATTTGGAGAACTTGGGGAGGGAAAGCTATTTCAATTAGAGAAGCTTTGCAGTAGCTCTAATATTTCAACTTTACCAGGATATTATTATTATTAGTTCCAAAATTATAGTCCATAATCCATATCCAGCTACAGTAGAAATTCTGCCAGCTTCAAGTTTATAATCTCTCCACATTTTTCACTTACATTGTTTTGGGATGATCATGCCTCAGGTAGGAGATAGCAGCAATTTTGTGTTCTCATCTTTCTCTATGTTATGGCAAATTCTAGGGAAGCTCTGAATCTAATAGCACAGAAAACAATTTACTCCCAGGTATATCATGTAACAACAGCAATTATTCTACAGAGGTTTTTTCTCTAGTGAGCAATTTGTAATTAATGATTTGCCCATCTTATTCAAGCTATTTAGCACATTGGTATTCAAAATGCATTTTCTCTGAATTGTATGTCTGTGTTCACCAGTGGATTATGTGTCTCTGTGAGTTAAAAAACTTTATTGAAACATCTAGGAATTTCTCAAGTAACTACTTTCACTTTCATGGGCCTTGTATTAAAAAAAAAAAAATAAATTAAAAACCTTACGTTCTCCTTCAGCAACAGACCCGTTTGACACGTCTACTCCTAAGATTTTGCATTACGTTGTTCAGCCAGTGGTAAAGTACCATTAATACTCAGTTGTAGCTTTGAGTATCCTGAAAGAAAGTAGTAATTACCACACGTTTATGCCAGTCAATGAAGCGGTGGCTTCCTCTGCTTCGGGTTGAATATCAGGTAGCTTCCTTTTATCTGTATACTGATCTCATGAGGGTGGCATTGATGATGTTGTTGACAAAAAGACTTAGAACTCTGTGTTCCACACTTCCATTGACAGTCCCATGTCACCAGCTTCCTCAACAAGATTCCTTGGCCAAGATTAAATAATATGTGTGATAGGACCAAGCCTCGTTAGGACTCTTGGCATGAGGGAGGGTCTTGCTGACGAGGGAACAGTTCTCTAGGTATGGTCTAAGAAGATGGACCAAGCTATTTCTGTTCACCCCTTCAGCTTCAAACAACTGTGAGTGAATCCCGTCAAATCAACCTTCTGCTAAATAGTTTACAGATAAATTACCAAATACACCTGTAGCAGGTATGCATAGTGGTGTGTGAACCAGTTCTGATGCATGTGTGTAACAAAAGTGTGTTGCTTTAATTAATCAGTGTGAGCAGTAAAACCTGTCAATAATTTTCCCTTTGCTCCTCTTTTTTATACCCACCTTCTCTGGAGGTTCTCCTCTTTCCCGTCTCCCTGAATTGTTTCCCTAGTTGTCAAATGATTGCACTGATATTAACTGATTCTAGATATGTGTGCCCAGTAATCTTGCTAAATGAGTGAACTTGATCATGAAATGAATTTTCCCAGCTCTTGTGGTGCTGGTAGCAGTAACGTCGCTATTGCTAGTCTCAGTGGTGGCAGAAGTGGCACCTACATGTCCTTACTTTCAAACAACAAATGTTACTATATGCTCTTTATTGTTCAAAAAAAATCTGCCTTCATTCTTAGATATTTCTACAAAGCAGTCTTTGCAGTAAATAAGGAAATGTCGCAACTCGCCCAACCACGACTGATAAACTGTTGATAGAAATGGAAGCACTACAATGATGCTAGCTGGAGTTATTCCTAAACAAAGTGAGCTCTAGGAAAAAAAGCAAAACAAAAAAGCTTTAGTTCATAACTCTTTCCATTTGTGTAATTTGTCCTTCAAAATTTATCGCTTATAACACTAATGAACCTTGGCAAGTCTTAACTATAGTTGCAGCTGTGTTCTTGAGGCCTGAAGTTTTTATAATCCATTTTAAAAAATCTAAATTTTAACTAAACACATATTTGTCTATTTCTTTTCTCCCCTCCGTCTCATCCTACTCCTCCATACTCTCTTCTAACTGCAGACAAAGTAAACGACCTTTTTTTTTTATACTGCTGGGTGCAGATCCAGTGCGCTGCTGAAGCATTGCATAGCCTGCCTCAGGGGCACAATATTAGTAGAGGGAAGGCCAAAGAATGCTATTTTTAGTTGAACAGTTCAGCAGATGGAGGCATGAATACTCATATATCTGAAGGTTGAGGGGTTTGAACCATTAATTTTGATAATGTATTTAACCCTGGGAACAATCAGAAACTGTAACTCTAAGGTTACAATGCTTTTGACCTTTAGAGAACAGAGGGCACTCGGTACAGTAAACAATATATTACATTTCTACTTATTCCAATTCTCTCACACATATAAATTTCAGGACATAGTTGACATTTGCTTTCCTCAGCTATTTTAGTGCTGGTCCTTAAAGTAAGTCAAGAAGAATGTGCAGGAAAGAGGCCAATGTAATGCGACAGTCATGTAAATATGGCCTTTAAATAGCTAAGATGTTAAATGTGGCCTTTTATGAAGAAATATTCTCGGGAACTAGAATTTTGGTGACTTATTATTTCAATGAAAAACTTATTTTAGTGGACTGCTGCTTTTATGGATTTTCCTCTATATGTTGTAGCCTTAAAGCAATTTTTTAGTGGGGTAATATGATCTGATAGTGATACCTCACACTGGGGGTGATTTGGTCCCACTCTGGTACCACATCATGTAAAGTGATGTACCTGCCTTATGTCTTATTAAATGATGCATGCTCCTCTTCAGCAAATATAGCAGTTAAATATCACACAGCTTAAGTATTTCTAATTAAAATATCTCCATGTGTCAGCATATTGGTAATGTATTATTTTAATCCATTTATTTTGTTTATGAAACAGTGACATATGTTTAGATTGTGAAATATATGA